AGGCTTTCCATTCCCTGCATTTACCAGGGAGGAATCCTATTACTATTCCTGTGTACAGGATGTGGTTTTAGCTGAATTAATACAATAAAATGAAATGGATGAGCAAGGGGGGCAAAATCTTCTATTCTTTTAACTTAGTCACAAGTGTAATTTCACAAATTTTTCAAGTTTACCACAGATAATGCAATAGGATAAATATGTTAGTAATGGGACAAATATGTTAATAAAATCAGGCTGGCAGCTTTTTTTGTAATATTTCACTGTATGAGAAAGCTCTGGTGTAAATGGAAAAAGACTGTTTTTGATTATTTCAATTTAGTTACAAATTAACTATCTTTTAGGCAAATTCAAAATCATCTAGCTTTTCTGCTTCTTAGGAAATGGGAAACTGTAGTTTTTAAAACTTTATTTTACTTCCTTCATATCTTGCTTAGAGGTATTTTCTAACCAAATGCATGTGTTCATGTGTGTGCATATACTCATACAAGTTCATAGATGTTCTATGCTACTTGTACAGAGCTATAAATATAAACAATTAACCACTTACTGAGCCTAGAAAAATCACAGTCCAGTGGAATGTTTGCTGTACAACCCCAGGCAGATTTTGCTATTGGATCTTTGACAAAGGGGCAGAAAACATACACTAGAGGAAAAATGGTCTCTAGTGAATGGTACTGGGAAAACTGGCTATCTGCACCATAAGATTGAACTAGACCCATATCTCTTACCATGTAGTAAACTACTATCAAAATAGATCAAAGATCTAAATGTTAAAACAGAAATATAATCTGCTGGAAGATAAAATAGGTACAACTTTTGAAGGCATTGACAGGAAAAGACTTTCTGAACAGAAACCCAGTGGCAGGAGAAATAGTACTAAGAATCAACAAATGAAATCATTTCAAATTAGAAGCCTTCTTCTCAGGAAAGAAAACAGCCAACAGAGTGAAGAGACAACACACAGAATGGGAAAAGGTTGCCAGCTGTTCCTCAGACAGAGGACTAATATCTAAAATATGTAAAGAACTCAAAAAAATTAGACCTTCCAAATTAAAAGACCCAAACATCCCGAGTTCAATCCCTGGTACAAAAAAAAAAAAAAAAACAAAGCAAGGGCAACTGAAATGAATAGACCCTTCTCAGAAGAAGTACAAATGGCCAGTACATACATGAAAAAAAAAAAATGTTCAACAACTCTGGGTATCAGAGAAATGCAAATTAAAACAACACTGAGATTCCATCTTACTTGAGAAAGAATGGCTACCATTAAGAAATCAAATAACAGAGCCAGGGATTTAGCTCAGTGGTTCCGTCACCTGCCTCGCAAGCACAAGGACCTGAGTTCAATCCCTTGTACCAAAAAAAAAAGAAAGAAAGAAATCAAATAACAAATGCTGATGAGGCTGCAGGGGAAAAGAAACACTTCTACACTGTTGGTGAGACTGTAAACTAGTACAACTTCTATGGAAAGCAGCACAGAGATTCCTCCAAAAACTAAAACTAAAAATGCCATTTGATCTGTAGGTATCTTCTGGAAAGAGTTAAAGATATCATATTATCAGTGACATATCAGTGATCCATGCATACTCATGTTTATAGTAGCACAATTCATAATAGATAAATCTTGGAATGTCCTATACATCCATCAATAGATGAATAGGTAAAGAAAATGTAGTATTTACACACAATGGATTTCTACTCTACCATAAAGAAGGACAAACTTGAGCCATTTGTAGAAAAATGGATGCACCTTGAGACCACAATGTTATGTGAAATAAATCAGACATACAATCTTAAATACCACATGGTTTCCCTTATATGAGAAACCCAAAATATAAATAAATAGTAGAATAAAAGATACACAATAGGAAGTGGAAAGATAGAGGTTTTCCAAATGGGAAGGGAATCAAGAGACAGAGGGAGAGGGGAGGGGTGGAGGGAAAGAAGGGGAAAGGAGCTATGTTATGAACACATACAAGTCCACACAAGGAATATGATCATTATGTAATGCAAACATGCACTATTAAAAAGTGAAAAATGAAAAAGAATGTTTTCTGTAAAATTAAAAGATGTATTTTGTTATATAAAAATACCTTAATTGACAAAATACCTTAATTTTTGGAATTAAGAAAATTTAGAATGAGTAGCAAGAAGATGCAGATGATTGTTAAAAGATTAAAAGATATAACCAAGAAAAAAACTGTTAAATTATTTCCAAGATACTCTCCATAAAGAAATATTCACTAGTATTAATAATCTACACTTATTCTCTAAAAAATAAACACTCAAAAGTTTATCCTTTTAAAAAATCCTATGAACAATTTATGCTGAAAATTTGTGAAATACATATGAAAAAGAAAACTTCAACAGGTCAAAAGAGAAGGAAAAACTTGCCCAAAATTCTGAATGCTGCTGCAGATATAAAGATTACAAGCTTGGGTCCAGGGATTTAGCTCAGTGGTTCCGCCACCCTCACAGGCTCAAGGACCCAA